TAAGATTAATAATCTTGTTTGTAGAACGCATAAGATTATTAATCTTAGCATGGAAAATTGACTCAATTAACTGATTTCAAGAATCTTACAAGTGCAATTATTTTACTCCATTGGCAGATTTTTTTTCACTTAATTTGAGTCAAATTTCCAGGCTTACAAGATAAATACTCTTTCACATTCTGTTCTTGTTTAGTAAATTAGTCTCAAAACAAGATTATTTATTTATTTATTTTATTTGGCTGGATATAGGATTTTAAAACTTGGTTAGAAGAACATGTTTTGCAGTGTAGTTGACTGAGGCGGCCATCTTGAATTGGATTACTTAAAAAAAGATTACTTTTCAGGTGAGAGTTTCTTTAAAATCCACCCAGCGGTTCATGAGTTATTTTCCTGGCAGACAAACAAAAACAGAAACAGGTAAAAACATYATTTCCCACTCTTTGGTTTTTCAACAGTGCGCAGTTCTGAACCCACGCCGTGCCCTTTCCTGCCTCAGGTAATGAATTAGTGGCTAATGTGCCGTAAATATTTAACTGTTGCTGTAAATTTCGCCCGTACGTCGTTCCTGTTGGGTGCGCGGCGTGGCCGGGAGCCAGGCTCTGGAGGTGGATTAGCTCATTGAACCTAAACAGTTTACGGGGAAAGCTGCTCCGGTGACGACACCGCAGCTCCCGACACACAAACCCCTCCGACATGAAAGTCACAGAGAAGAAGACGAAAAACTGAGTCTGTGTTTGAGTAAACACAGGCGCTGCGCCGAGAGGGAACACCTGTGTTTTTACCAAACTTTGGGCTCGGAGGACTCCTCCGCCTGCCGGAGCCATGTTTGGTTGATTGCATATTTTGAGGTGGTGACCACAGYGGTGACAAAACGCTCCCTGACTCACGCAGGAAACTGCCAAGTCAGTCCCAACCAAGAGGCGAGTAAACAAAAGGAAGAGGAGAAGGTGCTGAGATGATTCAGCTCTGCTGGCAGCGAGCCGTGGACACAAACACAGCTTCCACACAGCTTAAAGCTGCAGCCTGAAATAGKGTTTAAAGTGTTGAGGATTAGGGTTAAATGTCAGAAAGGTCAAGTTTAGTTTGGCTTAGAGACGCTTGCTGGAAGTAGCTCAACCGTTTGCCCAACATCCAGTTTTTGTTCTGTTTTAGTTCAGAAAGAGTTTATAATTCTTCTCAAACATGAACCCAAAATAAAATCTGAACAAATCAAACGTAGATCTTAYTTATCAAGTGGAACCTGTGCGATGTACAGGGGGAAAAAAAACAATAAAGCAACGTTTACACATCTGTTAATAACTTTGTCTTTTCAGCACCTTCAGAATAAACTTGAACAGGACAAAATTTATTAGTCCTGTTTGGTTTAAAATCTCTTTTTTTCCTCCTTTGAGAACTCTGAGGTGCCAGCCGTCCAGGTTTTGGTATCAAATGACGGCACTTCCCATCTGCTTACTGTTGTTCTGAGGAAATAGCCTAAACATCCTCTAATGGGATTCATCCAACAGCAGAAAGTCAGAGGAAGAAAATACTTGTGCTGTTTGAACTCACTGACCAACAAGTGTGTGGTCCGMGGGACCCCGAAACACAAGAAGAGTCCCTCCAACCAGGGCCGTGCAGAGACCACTAAAGGGGCAGGTGCTCCAGCCCCCTCCCCTCTGCACGTGCCTGCCTCCAACCAGGAAGATAACATTAAAAGTTTACAGTGTAGGATAACATGTTCTTATTATAAAATGATTTAGAAAACATAARCAACCTTTTTTATATAAAGACTCAGTGTAGCTACCAAAAAATAGGAAGCACTTAAAATGAGAGAAACTATATTTTCTGTAAAAATATGTGAATCCTGAGTGACCTTCTGCCTCACTTATCGTTTAGTTAACAATAATTTCCAAAACCTATTTGTCTCTGTCATTTTATTCCATCTAAATTTGATATTTTGCTGACAAAACTCACCRACATGGAGGATTTGAATGTTTCCAGTGTTTCTTTGTGACCTCATGTGCTGCAAAGTGARTTGCAATGAGAAATTTTCAATGTTGAGTTTTAAATATCATCAAATTTGTTGATTTATCCCCTGGCCTTAGCAGCAAGCTTCTTTTGTTTACGAGAGCGTCGGCCTTGGAAACATCACTTTTATTGGTCTGGAGTGATGTCATCAGGAGCTCCAGCTGTGTATTTAAAAAGGAGAATCCCTAAATTTAATGATGTCGAACATTATACAAAGAGATTTCCAGTTGCTGTGGCAGCTGGTGGAGAATAAAAATCATGAAATTAAAATTAAAAATGATTATTACCTGTTAAAAACTTTGACTTGCAGGAAGTCGCCACATGAACAGGTTTTTTTTTTTCTTCTGCTGTTGGACTCGTCGACRAATCCAGGGACCCCCCACTGATTCAACCCCTATTACACAATGAGGTTCTTTTGCGTTGCAAGTCCGTAACTCCAGTTCTTAGCTTCTATCTTATTTAGTCAATAACATCACACACTCAAAATTATCAAAATTTGTTGAATTTACTTAACCAAGTTATGTCAAGTGGTTCCACTCAATTGAACAAGAAATTTTGTTACATTTACTCAGTTTGGGTGAGTGGAACTGCATAACTTGGTCAAGTAAATTCAACAAACCAGTTTTTGAGTGTATTTACTTAATCTTGACATTCTACTTCTATATACTTCATACCATACACTTAAAACAGATATGATGGATTTAATTAGAAAATTATGTCGACTGGTTTCACTCAGCTGAATTGCAACACATTTACTTAACATTGACTTGAAGTTATTATAAATTTAATGTTTCCTTACTTAAGAAAAAACAAAAACACACAATCACTTTTCTGTCAAGAATTG